TTGGAGAAAAATAAATTTTGTTGTGTTTATATGGAATTATTCCTAGTTATTCTAAGGAATGTGATGTTTTACTTATTCCAAGACTTAATGTCAAGGATTTTTACATCCTGGCACGCAGAGAGGTCTATTTAGAAATGTAGAAAGCGGAAAGTATTTGGTGCATTGCCATCTTTCTTTTAATCTAATTCTACCAGGACTCCTTCTCCATGTGAGGAAGATGAAACAAAAACCTTATTAATTCCATACAATTGTGATAAAAATGCATGTTTTAAATAGAATACATTTATCTTCTATGTACATTAAACGTACTCAAAATATTAGAATGGATTTCTTTGATTATATCATTATTTCACCGTACGAAATATTCAAATTCAGAGTGTGGATAAAGACATTAGAAAGTGTGTATTCAGCAACTAGTAAGGTGATAGAGAAATATTCTATATACACTCATGGACAAAACTTAAGGAAGTTGTACCTTTTAGCATATATACCGGGATTCAGACAATACACTCATGGACAAAACTTAAGGAAGTTGTACCTTTTAACATGTATATCGGGATTCAGACAATACACTCATGGACAAAACTTAAGGAAGTTGTACCTTTTACCATGTATATCGGGATTCAGACAATACACTCATGGACAAAACTTAAGGAAGTTGTACCTTTTAACATGTATATCGGAATTCAGACAATACACTCATGGACAAAACTTAAGGAAGCTGTACCTTTTAACATGTATATCGGAATTCAGACAATACACTCATGGACAAAACTTAAGGAAGTTGTACCTTTTAACATGTATATCGGGATTCAGACAATACACTCATGGACAAAACTTAAGGAAGTTGTACCTTTTAACATGTATATCGGAATTCAGACAATACACTCATGGACAAAACTTAAGGAAGTTGTACCTTTTAACATGTATATCGGAATTCAGACAATACACTCATGGACAAAACTTAAGGAAGTTGTACCTTTTAACATGTATATCGGAATTCAGACAATACACTCATGGACAAAACTTAAGGAAGTTGTACCTTTTAGCATGTATATCGGGATTCAGACAATACACTCATGGACAAAACTTAAGGAAGTTGTACCTTTTAACATGTATATCGGAATTCAGACAATACACTCATGGACAAAACTTAAGGAAGTTGTACCTTTTACCATGTATATCGGGATTCAGACAATAACTCTTAAAGATATTACAGTGATCTTTATTTATTTTTGAAATCTAAAAATGATGGTCGTGTACAACAGACAGATCGCTCTTGTGAGATTTCTATGAAAAATTACCTTAAAATTTAATTAAGGAAATAAAAAGTTAGTGGGAGATTACGTGGAAAATATGCAAATTGGGAAAGTCCGTCAGAAAACCCGTCGTCTGCGATAGAATGTCAGATCGCCATGTTGAAGGTGATTTTTGACGTCACGGGTCGACGAGTATAATATTAGCGGTCTATAAAAAGCTACAAAGACATTTCGAAAAAACTTGATTTATGATGACCGTAGAACTCGTTATGGCAAAAATAGGCCTATAGCTTCTTTTTTTTTCAAATATTTCTACAAGTTTCGTGTTATATAAACAAGTTAAAAATAGAAAGTTGTGTATCCAGAAATGGAACTTCTGAAACATCATGAAACTTGTGACATGAATATTCAGGCTATTACATAAACTTAATGATAAAAAATGAAAATTGGGTCTATTTAATTATTTTTTTAAAAAACATTTTACACATCCTAAATGTAATCAGACATGATGTGCTACATGAAATTAATTCGAATCAAAACTTAAATGTTATTTTTTCATTTCCTTCTAGGTGTAGCACTTTCTATATCTACTAGTGTAGGTCCTTGATTTATTTTTAAAAATTTGTATACAAAAATGAAAAATTCATAGCTAAATGTAACAATTAGATGAGGATATAATCGATTCCCAATTTGCCGGGATGAAGGAGTACCTTATCACTGTATATCCAATATTACAGTAATATTACAGTACTCTTGGACAAAACTTAAAGAAGTTGTACCTTTCAGCATGTATATCGGTATTCAGATAATAACTCTGAAAGATATTACAGTGACCTTTATTGAAGACACATGAGATAACCAAGTGTGAACAAAATTGTCTCTATAAACTCATGGACAAAACTTATGGAAGTTGTACCTTTTAGCATGTATATCGGGATTCAGACAATAACTCTGAAATATATTAAAGGGGCCTTTATTGAAGACATACGAGATAACCAAGTGTGAACAAAATATTCTATATACACTCATGGACAAAACTTAAGGAAATTGTACATTTTACCATGTATATCGGGATTCAGACAATAACTCTGAAAAATATTACAGTAATCTTTATTGAAGACACACGAGATAATCAAGTGTGAACAAAATTACATCTGTTTACTTAAGAAGAAGAAGAAAAAAAGACGTCCGGCATTATCAAAGACTTTCCACTTCCTTAAATTTTGTCCATGAGTTTAATTAAGTTTAAACTTCGACGACCTTTTTAAATCTAGTAACAACCTGTTAAATTGAGAATTAACTGTACCTATCTAATTTGAGCATTCTTATCTAATAACGGATAGGTTTCCTTGGAATAAGAATCCTAAACAATGGTTTCTAGGGAATTTATGGTCTATCATTCGATATTTTTGGGTATTTATGCCTTTACTAATGGATTATCTCTTTTAGGAGAAGAAGCCTAAACAATGGTGGCTAGAGAATTTATAGTGAATTTTCGATATATTTGAGCATTTGTCCCTCTAATAATGGATTATCTCTTTTAGAAAAGAAGCTTAAACAATGGTTTATAGGTAATTTATGGTCTATCATTCGATATTTTGAGTATTTATAATTTTACTAATGTGGATTATCTATTTTAGAGAAAAGCCTAAAAAATGGTTGCTAGGGAATTTATAATGTATCTTTGATATATTTGAGCATCTGTATTTGTATCGGCTAATGGATATAGCTCCTTTAGATAAGAAGATAAAATGGCTGTAAGGGGATTTATGGTGTATTTTCGATAAACAGTATTTGGGTATTTGTACTTATTAATTGATAAATCTCCTTTATTCAGATCTCCTTAGATTTATTTTTATTCGATCGTTGATTGGTTTTCTAGTATCATGTGACTTTAATCAGCCAATCAACGGGTAGTGTTTTCTCTCTCTGTGGTTGCATCGAGCAAAGATTCTATATATTGAATATAATCGTGATTTCAATTCTAGGATTTTTTTGTGGTATATGCTTAAATATTTTTTATCTTTCTATTTATAATTTAAAAAAAAACTTTATTCTAGGAATTTCATGTTGACACATTAGGCTTTTTAATCTTTGTATTATAGAGATTATTTGACACTTGATCTTTTTTATTCTGTAATGGAGAGTTTTAGCGGTGTAAGATAAATTTTTATACTATTCTGTCGCATGTGAGACACCGTGAGTTAATGCTCTAGCAATAATCGAACGACGAAATAAGGAATAAACAGATATGTAAATATAGTGTACATCCTGGAGAGCCACAGCTATCTGCTGAAGATTACACCGATGTTGAAGAAGGTCTTTGACCGCTATCAACTTTCCGAGATCCACGCTGGATCAAGTCCGTTTCCTAACGTCTGAAGGAAATTGGGCGAAACCAGGCGTGGCGTTGGTTTACAACTCCTTCTGACTGGAAACTGTTACATTCAGATAAGTATTGGAGGACGTATATCTTTGATTGCTCTGCTATGAAAGAAGAAAGAAGAACCCTTATGCTCAAAACTGGGCAACTCTGTGCTTCACTCCCATCAATAATTGACAATATGACCCAGAATAAGTATATTGCTACGGCGTTTTATGGTTTCCACAAGTCCATATCTCAGAAGAAGGCCAAGTGACACTCACTCCTCACTTTCTTACTGCTACTCTTTTTGTGTTGTTTTTCGTGCTTCCCACTTTCTCTTTCTTTTTTTTTTCTTTCTTCTGTTTATATCGTTGTTTCCTTTGTCTCACTGCTTTGTTCTTATGCATACCTCTGGTGAATCCTGTATAGGATCAGTGACCCTAAATAAAGGCTTTTTTGTTGTTGTTTGTTGTATTGGAAGACGTAGTCTCGGTAGCATAGCCGCGTAGACTTCAGGTAGTGCATGGAATACAAGGTTATCCTAAAACATCGTAAATACTTGCAAAAATTTGAAATACCAATATTATCCGCCATAACATTATTCGCCGTTATGTATAACTAGCCGAATGACCCGGGCAACGCCCGTGTTTTACCCGACTGTAGATGTTACAACGGTGATCCTTAGGTCGCTGGTTCAAATCCGGCTCGAGGGAGCCGGCGAGCACGTGACCTCCCTGTGCGCGCGCATCCGTGACAGAGGCGGCCGGCCGATGAGGAAAGACGGTCGTGACTATATATATTAATATTTCTTTGTATTATATTCAATTGTTTAGGTAATATAGTATCTAAGTATTGTATTGTTTCTTGACGCATAGGTTTGAAGTAGTAGTTGTAGTAGCGGTCTTATACCGCCATGTGAGGGAGGTACTCTCCAAGACACTCTCGACAGAAAACAAAATCATTCTCTGCGAATTCCTCAACATGGCACTTGAACATGTCGGGGACAAAAACTCCTTTATAACCAAAGGTCCATCCAAATTCAGGGTGGCTTGTAACCTTTGATTTGACGTCTCTTCCGAGAAGGATTCGTGTTTGATGTAAATAAATATATTTGTTTATTGTTTATAGCTGTGATTTTATTGGAACTTTTTTGTATCATTGTTGACTAGAGGTTAATAAAGTTTATAATACAATATAATAAAGTTTGTTTTTCATTCTTTACTTGACGCAAGCATCCCTTGTAGGGATATCACGTCTGATTTGATAATACATACATGAAAAGGTGAATTGCGAAGAGTAATGATAAACGGAAAAATAAAAGGGTCCATGGATGGGACTCGAACCCACAGTGTTCCGCTTACCGGGCAGATGCCTTGTCCACTAGGCTACCCTGGTGGATGGACATGGTATCTGCCCGGTAAGCAGAACACTGTGGGTTCGATTCCCATCCCTGGACACTTTTATTTTTCCGTTTATCATTACTCTTCACAATTCATCCTTTCATACCTCATCCAAAAGGTTAGAAATAATCGTTATTTCTCCTTGAAATAAATGTATTATTAAATATTCGCCGTAATATTATTATTCGCCAAATAATAGGAAAAACACGAAATTTTGGGACAACTTTATAAATAGATAACATACACATTAATTAAAGAATAATTAGAATTTCTAGACGTGAGATAATATTTTTACTTATGGCCAGTGTATATTAAGATAAAGGCATCTGCTTTTCGAGTAATTAAAAGTTGCTGATGGTTTGCACCATCTATCGGAATAAATATCAATTCATCTATATATAAAGTAATACTTAAAGCCTCCCCGCATAAGTTTCTTTTATAATCATACACCGCAGTCCTTTATATCATCTATATATACTCATGTACACGCTTGTTCGGCGGTACATATACTAAAATTGGAACGATACAGAGAAGATTAGCATGGCCCCTGCGCAAGGATGATACGCAAAATCGTGAAGCGTTCTATATATACTCATGGACAAAATTTAAGGAAATTGTACTTTTTAGCATGTATATCAGAATTCAGACAATAACTATGAAAGATAATTGATACACAGTGAATTTTATTGAGGACACACGAGCACGAGATAAACAAGTTTGAACGAAATTGCCTTTGTATCCTTAAAAAAAAAAAAAAAAAGCAGACGACCGGTGACATTAAGGACTTTCCACTTTCTTGAGATTGGTCGATGAGTGTACGTACTACATTTGTGGGGTTCTGATGATTGATAACTACTTGTTAAATAAATAAATACTTTTTTGATTGATCTAATTTAAGTCAAATTTTTTTACTCTAATAAAAAGATAAATATTACATAGAATTTTCTATCTCTATTTACCATGAAATCTTTATTAGTTTTGAAATCTGTACTCGCAATGAGATTTTTGTTTGTAATTTAACATTATTTTTAAACACATTAAGTTACATAAACTATATCCTGAAAAATATTGTTTCCTTCTTTGCAAATTCAACCAAAATATTTCCTTATTTGGTAGTGATGAGGAAAGACAAAAAAAGGATTTCAAGGAAGTTATTGTATGGAAGGAGATGAAAGGTTTCATAGCATCAATATATCTCCAACATAGATATCACACATTTGTTGGAATTAATATTCCACCTCTCTGTTATTTCTTTCTTTATTTTTTATTATCCCTAGTACACGTGGTATATACGAACGAGGCACCTTTGTTGGCTGGTATTGTGATTAGAGTGCACGGACCGATCTGATCTGCTCCATGGACAAGACACCATCACACGTGGTATATACGAACAAGGCACCTTTGTTGGCTGGTATTGTGATCAGGGTGCACGGACCGATCTGATATGCTCCATGGACAAGACACCATCACACGTGGTATATACGAACAAGGCACCTTTGTTGGCTGGTATTGTGATTAGAGTGCACGGACCGATCTGATCTGCTCCATGGACAAAACACTACCACACGTGGTATATACGAACGAGGCACCTTTGTTGGCTGGCATTGTGATTAGAGTGCACGGACTGATCTGATATGCTCCATGGACAAAACACCACCACACGTGGTATATACGAACGAGGCACTTTTGTTGGCTGGTATTGTGATTAGAGTGCACGGACTGATCTGATATGCTCCATGGACAAAACACTACCACACGTGGTATATACGAACGAGGCACCTTTGTTGGCTGGTATTGTGATTAGAGTGCACGGACTGATCTGATATGCTCCATGGACAAAACACTACCACACGTGGTATATACGAACGAGGCACCTTTGTTGGCTGGCATTGTGATTAGAGTGCACGGACCGATCTGATCTGCTCCATGGACAAGACACCATCACACGTGGTATATACGAACAAGGCACCTTTGTTGGCTGGCATTGTGATCAGGGTGCACGGACTGATCTGATATGCTCCATGGACAAAACACTACCACACGTGGTATATACGAACAAGGCACCTTTGTTGGCTGGCATTGTGATTAGAGTGCACGGACCGATCTGATCTGCTCCATGGACAAGACACCATCATCACATGTGGTATATAGGCCATGATAATCATGGTTTGTAGTTAGCGACTGCTTTTACTGTAAGTGCATCACATATGAATGACAGATGTGGCACATGTGAAAAGCAGTTCGACTTTTGCACTTACAAATATATCAGATCCCCGTTTGGTTACTTGCACTCGCTGGTGGGGTTGGACTTTTGCAAGAATCGGGGGCCATTGAAGCAATTTTTTTAATAAGAAAAAAAGTATCTAAAGCTGGATTTGATCCCGGATCGTAGCGGTAGAAAATTAATGATTTAGACCATCCTTCCACCGACCCCCAAATTTCTTTATAAACATCAACATTTCCTCGCATTTACCCAGACCAATATATTTATGTAAGCTCAACAGTCTTAATTAATGTAAAAAAAAATATTACAAAACTTGAATTGTATTTGGTTAAGGTAGATAAATTAAGGAAAAAAGGCATTCCCTGATCGTGAAACTAAAAGTTGCTGATGGCTTGCACCATCTTACGGAATATATCAATTAATTTGTTGATATTTATTCCGATAGATGGCGCAAGCCATCAGCAAATTTTAGTTGCACGATAAGGAAATGTCTTTTCCCTTAGTCATAATCGAATTTTCCTGTATTGAAATTTACTATTATTGTCATTAAATGTGGTTAGCTTTTACTTTTTATTGTTCTTTTCATTTGCAGATTCCGTGTTAAATTCATTATAAGGCTACATTCATGGACAAAACTTAAGGAAGTTGTACCTTTTAGCATGTATATCGGGATTCAGACAATACACTCATGGACAAAATTTAAGGAAGTTGTACCTTTTAGCATGTATATCGGGATTCAGACAATACATTCATGGGCAAAACTTAAGGAAGTTGTATCTTTTACCATGTATATCGGGATTCAGACACTAACTCTGAAAGATATTACAGTAACCTTTATTGAATAAACACGAGATATAACCAAATGTAAAGAAAATTGACTCTATATACTTAAAATATATATAAAGACGACTGGAAACATCAACTTTCCACTTCCTTAAGTTTTGTCCATGAGTATATATATATATTTCTTAATAAAAGCTTTTGTGTGTGTCTCTGTGTACCAAGATGGTAAGCACGGGGGTCGGTGGAAGGCTGGTTAAACCGTTTGGTTTTCGACCACTACGACCCGGGTTCGATTCCCGCATTGGACACTTTTTTCTGTTTTAAAAATAAATTTTAAAAAATGCTCCAATGGCCCCCGATTCTTGCAAAAGTCCAACCCCACCAGCGAGTGCAAGTAACTAAACGGGGCTCTGGCACATTTGTAAGTGCAAAGTCGAACTGCTTTTCACATGTGTAGACATGTGATGCGCTTACAGTAAAAAAAAGCAGTCGCTAACTACCCACCATGATTATCATGGCCTGTACCACGTGTACTAGGGATAAGCAAAAAAAAAAAAAAAAAGATGGTAAGCTTTCGAGAATTGAGAAATCTTCTACAAGCTGCGATAGAATGAAAAGAAAAATGAATAGAAACAATCTCACCAATTTGATCATATCCATAAAGTCGCTGGAAGAGTGGGTAACACCCTTGATTCCCGAAAGTCATGAACCGGGATTGAATCCTGCGTTAACATTTTGTTTAATATATTTGAATAACCTTCACATTCATTGTTTCAAATATCATAAACTAGGTTGCTCTTGTTGAACGGTACCTAATAAAGTGATTTTGAACCGGTGATCATATCTATGAAATGTATGAAGGCAAATAAAATACTTCAGTATTGCATACTATATATATATGCTCATACCCAGACACAATACTATTCTATTAATAGATGCATGACGTAAATGAGGTATTTCCTTATAAGGAAGTCACATGCTATCATCATATGACACTTACGTAACCTGTCTGGCACGTCACAGATCGTTAAAAGGTTTTTATATACATATTGGCACAAAGTGATATTAAATGGGCTGTTAACGTGAAAATTACTTTTTAAGAGAAACTGGTTTACAACTGTGCGGAAACTTTCCCATATATATTTCCCATATATAAATAAAATTAACGCGAAGTAGTGGACTCACGTCGGTGACAAAGACAGTCAATAAATGTCGGAGACAGTCAATGACGGTCAAAAGATGGCGCTTAGTTATAACGTCTAGTTTGATGCGAAAGGCGGCCTTTGTAAATATAAATACATATATGGGTTGGCCAAATATCAGGGAACAGGTTAAATCAATGTTTAGTTGATTTCTGTTCCACTAGATGGCGCTCTGCCATCTAAAAAGCACATGTGCTTTCTTTATTTTTAATATTCTTTATTTAATTCTTATAATTTCATATAATTTCTTTATTTATATTAATATTCTATATTTAATATTCTTTTTATTTTTCAAATTTTTTTTTTCTATCTAAAATAAAAACATATTATTCTAACATATAATTACTTTTATTACATTTTTCTCTCCTAAATAAGATATAAAAATAATACATATAAACAACTTTTTAATCTCATCTAACTTAAACACAAAAATAATTATCAACTTTTATCTTATATAATTAATTTAGATTTAGCTTGCTAATCTAATAGAATTTTTTTTCCTTTATATATATATATATATATATATATATATATATAGTGTAGAAACTATATAACAAAATTATAACAGTGATTCTAATTTTAAAAAATTTTAAGGAGCAAACTGATAATAATGATAACTTATATCAGTTAGATTTGATTAGATTAGCAAGCTAAATCTAAATTAATTATAATAATAAATAGTTATTTAATTTTATAGTCCAGTTTTGTATTAAAATTATCTTCACTATTATGATCATTTAAATACAAATTATAAAATTTGTAAAATGTTATTAATTTGTAGATAGAGAGAGAAAAAAAAAAAGGAAGCAAAGGATTTTTTTTTTCTCTCTCTATCTACAAATTAATA